TTATTATATAATAAAATATGTAGTGATTTTTTGTTTTTTAAAACCCATTCCTTTAACATATGCTTTAAAATCCATCCCCGAAATCCGGAGAAATAGTTTAATTACCTTACTAATTATACCATTTCATATCGTAGACAATGGTTTGATTCCAAGTAAAAGAGCAGTTTTCAAAAGTTAGTGGAAGAACTACCAGATCCTGCTTGATGCTGCTAGCTAGGTAGACTACTGAAGTCTGAAGATACGTTCTGTAGATGAAGGTAAATCAAGTATTATCCATATTGTTGTTGAGCCCTGAGGGATTCTGAGCTTTTAAATAAGTTCTCAGCATATCAAATGTAGAAACTGCTATCCAATCACTCTAAATAATCGTTTTAAGGTCAAACGAAATTTATATAAAAGCGCTTCGCTTTTAATTCCATGACACAAACTGCGAAGGCATCCACGGAAGCGTTCTTAGATAGGCTTAAGCCTGCAAAAACGGTTTCTCGAAGGTTGCATACAAGAAGCAAATTAATATTCAGGTGTCGGTTAGAGATAGGCCAGTGAGAGAGTAATATTAGAAAACATTTACATCTTTTTTTATTTCTTAATGATATTTATAACTGTATTAAAGAAATGCATTTAGTAAATTTGAACAAATGGATATAATGACGTGATAACACTTGTTGAGAAAATACCCAATGGTAGCACTCTAATGATACGTATACATTACGAGATCACGGGGCCATCTTTTCAGACGCCTCGGAGGGTTATCAGGAATTGAAGAGAAAGCGAGGTTAAAAACGAGAGAGTTTGGATGATTCTGAAGTTTATTATGGAAGGATAGGTATCTGGATTGGACCAGATCTGAAACATAAGAAGCATTAAATATCATTATGGATGGTTTTATTCGTAACAAAGTAGGGAGCATTGAGGATTTTTCGAAGGATTTTGGATTGTAAGGATTGGATACGACGAGAGGAATTCGATGGTTTAGTGGAGCCCCATAGCTCAACTCCGTAATCCAAATAGGCCTTATTATGGTCATATATATGAGTCTGTTGTAATTAATTGGACTAATGATAATTCTTGGACTAATGATAATTCCATAATGATATTTCTTGGCTATAACGCCGAGAAATTGGCCGGAAGATGCTCCTATCACCTCTCAGGCAGAGGATCACAGATGACATGGTGGGCAAGACATCTTAGATGATACATTGTCAACTCTGTGGGTTAATGCACAAGTTTAGAAAGATCTGCAGTTCAGGGTACAAGGAAAAAACAATTTTTGTACGGTATGCTTCAAGCGTAAAATATTGGATAAAGCATTCATTGCCGAAGGGTCTCATAAAATAATTCAATTTCAAATTCTCAAAGAGCTTTTCTGATTGATATTCCACATACACTTATTTATTGATCATTTAAAATTTATAAAAAGATGAGAGCTATTAGATATTGCTCAAGATGGCTAAACGAAGCCCCTTATCAAGAAGGCCGGACGAAGCCCATTTGAAAGTGGGAGCCTCCAGAGGCTAGCGTGGGAATCCAGATCCCATCTCTAAAATATGCAGGGCTAATAGCGAGCCCTCGGGCGTCCTCGCCCAGCGGCCACTTCTTCGGTAGTTCTTCTCCTTCCCTCCCCCCCACCCTTCCTTCTTTATCAGCTCATATTATTATTGATACTCCACCCATCTTATTTACATTCTTTGAAACAATATTAGGTTTTAACCTTTGCAAATTTTTTTTTTTTCTCCAATGTGTAGATGGAAAGATAGAAAAATAAACTTTATTCAGGGACAAAGTCTCCTTAGAATAATAACAATGAACAAATACAAAAAACAATACATATCTGTCCAAAAACTAACTTAATAATATATGCAATGATTTAAATAATAGTATGTAAACAACTAAAAAGCATAAAAATAAAATCTTCTCAAGGATGCATATAGTTTTAATGGGAAAAAAAGTTATATATATGTATATATATATATATATATATATATATATATATATATATATATATATATATATATATATATATATATGTATATAGAGAAAAAAAACCTTCAGAAAAGAAAAAATAGCAAAAGTAAGTTAAGAAAAGCATTCATTTTTTATATGAAAACATAAATAATAGGCTAGCCAATAAAAACTAACTTAATAAAAAATCCAATAATACATACAGTGTTTTAAATAATAATATGCAAACACTAAATAAAATCATCTCAAGAATACTTATAGTTGTAATGGAGTATCTAATTTAAATTTATTTGTATTACAAAATCTACTAATCACCTAACATTTAGGTATATAAAACTATATCTTCGTTAATTTACCTTCACTCCAGTTTATATTGTTAACAAAGTTTAGAACCAGACCCCCATATGATTGAATTTAGAGTTAACGATGTAGAATTAAACGAAATGCCCTCACCTTTTTCTTTTTTTTTTTTTTACATATGTTCGAAATTTCAAGAATTAATGCCACCCTCAAAACTTCATATTCTTTATCCATATTTAAGAGACCAATTAAAATTTTTTTAATTAAACAAAATTAACTAAATAATGATTTTTAATAAACTTATATTGATTTCAATATATTTCAAATTCAATCTTTTAACTAATTTTAAGCTTAAAATTGATATTAAATAAATATGTAAACAAACATATAAGTCTTTTTTTTTAAGATTCAAACAATTTATGTTTATTTTAAATTAAAAATTAATGGATTTATTGGTATGGTACAATACCACCTCATATCTTGACTAAATACCCAAACTGCCGAAGTACGAAGATCTTATTGGCTAAACTCAAAAACACAATTCTTAGATTTCCCAATACCCGGCGAGTATGGCACTATACTCCTATTTTCAAGCACCTAATAAAGTTTTCCTCAATTACTAAGACAATCGATGCCTGCAAATGGCCATCAACGTTTTTCTCTAATCCCTGTCTGTCTCATTCAAAAGTTTTAGATCTTATTTATTTTTTCTAATTGCCTTATTATAAATATATATATTAAGTTTCGGTTTTCCGTCTTTCTTTTTTTCTTTTTTTTTTCTTAAGGCTCTTGGTTATAGTTAACAACCCTCGAACGGAATCTGATGAGCCGACAAATCCTGAAGAGTGGTGTGGCAAGAAGCCATTAACATCTCTGTTTAGTGTGTTCTTTGTGTCTTCGCCCGCCACTAAAAATCTCAATAATTTTTTTAAGGTCACATTTTTTTTTCTTTCCTTCCAAGTCTATCTAAACTGCTTATCCAAGTCACTACAAGGAGTATTAAAAGATAAAAGATCTAAATGGTTTAAGATAGGCCCTGGGAGCTTTTGGAGATCTTTTGTGTCGGGACAGCGGACTTATCAGTTTTTTTCCCTGTAGTGATCTCTTTCTAATTACCAATCTAAAGGAGTTTCAGTCCCAATAAAGAGGGACGATCATCAAATAAATCCTTCCTTGTCTAATTATTTTTGATAGTATAGACTAAATAGAATATAAACATTATTTAATTACTATATTTATTGAATGTTTATGTTTTATGAAATTCGATAGCAATAATAAAGATTAAACTTCTGAAAAATTGTCAAACCCTGGAAAAAATTTTATTTACTATATTTACAATTGTTCAGTAACGGATCTAGTAAATTTGTTGCTGATGTATAGTTGTTTGAGTTTTTTTTTTTTACAAATTCCATGCCATTTGGGGCATTACCTGTGAAAAATATTTTTTTACGATCAGTGTTAACATTCATTAGGTGTGAAAGTAATATAAGTTGAAATAAACAGAAAAAAAAACACTAGACAAAATGAAATAAGAAAACAGAGGGAGGGAGACTAAAAAAAAGGAACAACGTAAAGAGAACCAAAATGATTAAACAAAAAAAGAAAAGTAAGGATTAATTAGATAGACAATTAAAGTCAAAATAATCGAGAAAAATAAATTAAAAACAGGAAAACTAAACCATCACAAACAAAACGTGATGGGAGTTGAAAGTTTGGAATATAGTTTTCATCCTTATTGTTATTTTTTCTTGTTATATTATGTCTTCTTTCTTCTATTTGATTACCAATTTTGATTCAATTTTTTTTCAGCAATTCACTATTGCAACTTAATTACGTTGGCGAATTGGAGTGGCTCCAACAATTTGTCTAAGAGAACATTTTCTAAAGGTGGACAAAGTCTGTTTGACTTATTCGATGATAGATCTTGAATTGGGTTTTTTATTGTTTGTTTTTGTGGAAGCAGGGTTGCAAATTAAGGTCATGTGGTCATATATCCCGGGCATGGGTTCAAGTCCGGCTCTGGTTGGTAATTATTTATTCTGTTATATCAACCACAGATCGACCCCGGGATCGGGAGACCCTCCAGGGGCACGTCCACCCTCTATAATGCGAGTATGCTTTAATTTGAAAACATGACGGTTGTGCCTAATCCTATCCAAACCTCCCCCATGCACGACCGTTGACCTAGAAATATAAATTCCTTACTACGTACTAAACTCAAAACGTCCTTACGTTGTAGTGTTAAAGGTTTTTTTTTTTTAAATTATTGGTGAAATTACTCAAAGCCATTTTCTTTTTTAACTGCGTTGACTACGTATCAGGATGGAGGAAAGTGTTAGAACGGATGGATTCGGGTTATTGTGAGTTGAAGAGTCAAAAGACATTGTATTCTGTTTGCGTTGGAGTGTTTTGCTGAGCCTTCAACATCTGTTCCATCAAAATAGATCTTATGTTAGTACAGTGCTGTAGATTACTCTATAAATCTTTTTACTCTTATTTATTTAATATATACTCAAAACATAAATATTCTCTTTGGTATTTTCTCCCAAAAAAATTGGATTCAAAAGGTTTTTCCAATTACAATTTTTAAAATTAGTTTGAACTGACTTCATTAAGAAAAAATTGAATGCTGAGATATGTATTAGGTAGTTTCCTGTTTTGAAAATATTCAAAAGATCAATTAAGTGTTTAAAATTTTGAATATCCAAACTAATTTGCTTCATTTTTTTTTTTTTTTTCAGAAATTCGTCGAGGGAACAAACTTAAGGCGATGTAAAGGAAGTCTTCCATTGACTTCCCGGTAAGTACCTTATATAATTTAGTTATCTAGACAAATTAGTTTTATTGAATAATATAATAATTTATTATGAAAAAAATCAATATTCTTTATTTTAATAATTGTATATAAATGGAATCCCTGTTTATTAACATTTGTGAATTAAGAATCTATTTATTTATTTTGTTAATAACCGTAATTACAATAACTTATAATTATAAAATTTGTAGATTTTTCTTGACACGTGCTCATAATTGTCTGTTACTGTGTTATTCCCATTAAAAAAAACAGAACCTGACATTATTCACTTCAATATAGATAATTAACAAATTTGATAATGCAGGTGTTAGCTAGACTTATATTGATTTTTTTTTCCATCCTTGGACTGACGAGACTTTAATTATTATGAAGTGTGCCTCATTAGAGCGTACATAAGTTCCTTTGTGGTTTATATTAGACCAATTTTCCAACTTCCACCTGTTTAAAAAAAAATATATAATACAAAGAAAATGGTGTATGTTAATAGAAAACTAATTCCAAAGAGTCTCGGTCATTGACAAATGGTTATCTATGTACCTTTTTTTTTTTTTTTTTTTTTTTTTTTTTTTTTTTTTTTTTTTTTTTTTTTTTTCCCCCTACCTGGCCATTTCTGGCATACGGGGTTGGTTATCTATGTACCGCTTTAATTCCTGGCTTCCTCTAGATGTTTCTTTTTTTTTTTTTTCTTCTTCCTTCTACACCTTTGTTCCAGAGTAGTGCGTTCCCCTATCACCTCCTACAGAGGCCTTTATCCTGAATCTAACAACTTAAAGACTTTTCTTTACTTGTTCTAACACATTTATCGCAGTTGATTAAATTCAAATTATAAATTTCAAAAATGTCTCAAGATTCCTCATTGGAGTGGAGGGTTGATGATGTAATGAAATTAAACATTTCCATTTTTAAAAACATTTATTTATGTACAAATTATAATGGACTATAATTGGGCTTAATTAGGTTTAAAATGTAATTTAAAATTACATGTAACTACTTCCACATAAAGTAGAAAATAATTTTCGAAATTATGGTCCAATAGTTGGATTTGATGAAAAATTATGGTAAGTATGGCGTACCAACAAAAAATAGCTCCTTTGAGAAATAATATATATAGTGCGATGATAAGCTGGATCCCATTTGACACAAGTTCACTTCTTATTAGTTTTTAAAATAATCAAAAACTGTTGATATCCTTCAATATTTTATTTAATTATAAGGATTCTTGAATTGTCACATTGTCTAATAGAGCTGTCCTGGAGAATAGAAAACAAAAATAAGACAAAAGTAAAAAAATCAGACCGGGCATATTTCGTATCTATTTCGATGATTTATTATTTATTTATATTTTTGATTAGTAAGGAATCCAGGAACTTTTAAAATAATCAAGTTTATAAATCAAACATAAATTAGTTATTGAGTAAAGAAGTTGTGTTATTGGTCAAGAAAGTTTCATTTTCTTCATAACTTTTTTCCTGAAATCACTGGGGGATACAACTACTTTTTAATCTTCTAAAAAAAAAATTAAAAATAATAATAATAATATATATATATATATATATATATATATATATATATATATATATATATATACACATATATAAATAATTTTTTATTTTTTATTTTGTTGATTTAACATTTAGATGGCTTTTGAATATTATTTTTTTATAAACAGCAATTTCATAAATCATAATTGATAATGAAATTTTGATAAATGGAGTTTATGAAAAAAAAAATATTAATAACCTTTACATTAAAATTTAAAATAATATTCTTTGCATAAAAAAAAAAAAAAAAACAACAACAAAATGAACGGGTTATATTAAAGTACTTTCAGCGAGTTATATGACTTCAAATTAGAAACATTAAAGTAAATAAAAGTTGTGATTTAAAATAAAATAAAAAATTTAATGTTGGGTCACACTCATTAGTATTTTTATAGCATAGATAAACCGTCCCATTATATTTTAACTTTTTTTACCCTTTGTTTTAATTACTAAATAAAAGGATTTTCATGTCTAGCAACAAATATTTTTCGACCGTAAAACTAAAGTGATGATCAAAAACCAAACCTGTATAAGTAATAAATATGACTGTATATAATACTAAAAAAAAAAAAAATAGAATTTTCATTCTTGGATTTATGGTATGTCATATATTCCAAATCGTTTAAAATGTTATACTATAAATTAATACAGCGAAAAATCTATCCCATTCATTGTCTGATCAATTCTTCGCGCTTAAGTTTTGATGGTCCTTGCCACTTCTAAAGGCTTTCCTTACTTAAACTATACCTTCAAATTGGTGATCCTTTCTATGCTAGACCTACATACAACTATGCTACACCTTTTTCAAGGCTACAAAGAACAATATATATCGGATAGTGCAAGTACATACATTTTTCTATGTACTTGCACTTTGTAGCCCTGAAGAAGACATGCAGCATCAAGCGAAACGTCAACGTAAAAGTTATTAAATTCCGACGTTTTTCCCATTTTCATGTTAATCTTGTACGGCATCTTGATTATTCATTTCTGTAAAAAATGTCAATCTTTAAATAAAATCCGATATTGGGAAAAGAAATATGTTTTATTAATGAACTTTTCTACCAATGGGTTGTTTCTCTTCATGTTGTACATGCCATGTTACCAATTTATCATTTACTTATTGTATTCTCTATGTAATACAGTTGTAAATTCCATTAAAATAATAATAAAAAAAAAATTAATGAACTTTAAGAAATAGAATGAAATGAAGAAATAGGTTTCAACCTTTTTTTTTTTTTTTTTGATAACGCATCGAAAAAATTATATGCATGTCCCGGTCGGTGTTCGTTCCAATGGGCATTAAGCACAGAGAAACAAAATTGATGTATTTTCAAAAAAAGTTGTTATTTCTTATTGCCTTTGCTTTGATTGGATTTATTGTATACCAATCTATTTCTTTTTCGTCGGAATCAGGTAATAAAAATATTTAGTCTGTGGGCCAGACCCCCTTACCGTGCACTCCCCCCACATCCCTATAAATTGCATATCGTTGTGTTCCTTGTGACAATTTATTAAAAAAAAGCCAATGTTCCCACAAAAAAAAGTGAACGAACTGCCCCAAAATGGCGTCCAAACATGGCGGATTGACGACTTTGACTTTACTTAGTTTTTTTGTTACTGAGAATCAGCATTTGGCTTAATTTCATTATAGTTGGTCTTTTATTAAAGCTGGATAGTCATAAAATAATAAACCATGAAAAAATATTAAAAACTAATTGGCTTAGGCATTAAAAAAAATCGGTAAATTCAATTTTTTTTACAAAAAAATTTTCAAGTTGAAAATCAAGCGTCATTTGTAATCAAACGGTCAACAATAATGCAAAACGTGCTGAAATAAAACATCTGGAGAATATATTTCTCTTTCTAAAACACTGATTACTTTTTAAAATATTTGAAGTAGTTCCGTAGAAAATGTACATAAGCGGCAGAAAAGCGCTACTGGCGTAGGTGCCTCAGGCCTCTACCACACCACTCAGTACTCATAAATGACTTAGTTATAGTGCTATAATAACGTTTTTGTTATATTACATTGATTGCATTAACGAACAAATATTAATAAAATAATTTATTTGTCAAAAAAAAATATTTTTAAAATTTATTATTATTTTTAAAATTTATTATTATTTATTTTTTTTAATTTAACTTCCTTTATTCTATACGGAGGTCGCTTAAGAAGGCCTCTATTATAAAAATTATATAATTATAATAATACAACTTAATTCAAAAATACTTTGCAGAATATCTTGAATTTTTTATTTAATATTTGCAATTTAACATTTTGTTTTATATATTTCCTGATTCTTAAAGGTAATTTAAATTGTATATACTTCCCCGGAAATGAGTCATATTAATATCTGTTTTATAAACTAAAATAATATATACCTAATCTGAACTACGTTTAATGAATAGGTGATGGATTGTTTAGTAAAATTCAGATATCGCTATAAAAAAAAACATTTTTATTTCCTTAATTTTATTTGGAAGTTGGACTATATCATAAAAAATATGAACTTTTAATATTAAATGCATTATTCCCTCTGCACAAAATAAGGATGGAAAGGGCGAAGCTATAAGTTCTTCTAGGTAACTGGAACTGATTGTTAGTATTTGGTCTCAAAATGAGGGAAAACGCGAAATTGAACCCAAACATTGGAAAAAATACATTAAGCGAACGACAAAGGAAGTGCCAAAATTTGGGAAAAATAAAACAAGGATCAGTATCCGTTATATGGCTAAACGAATATATAGTAGACAAATCAACAGAATATTTCAATATGCTGCTAAAAGGGGATCAAAATTCTTGATCAGTTTGGATGATATTAAGCAGGTTTATTATGGTGAAGACCATTTCATCAGCAAGAAAGATTTGTTCTAAGCAATTGGCAAGTCAGCTGGTCTGGACGAAGTTACCTGAAATGCTGTGCGTACAAAGGCTACAAATGTATTAAAGAAAAATGATATGAAAGGACTGTAGTTTTGTCCCTTTACAGGAAATGAGATACTAGGAAATGTTATTCGAGATTCCTTACTGTTTATAGTATCAAAGAAAGTCTACTCAAGAATCGTAGAAGCTAAAATAAGAAATATTGTCGATTGTCTGAGCGATATGGATTGAGAAACTCAAGTTGCACATTGGAACATAAGTTGCAAATTGGGACTGTCTTCACTTTAAGGTAGGTCATAGAGAAGTCCACAGAGAAAGAAAAATGGTTCTCTATCTGCTTAGTGCCTCACACTTTGGATTGATCTATTATCTACTAGTCTTTCACAAAAGATCGCTTTCCTTTCAGATTCCTTCAAAAATCTTTAGCAATTGCACTAAACAGGAGGAGAGCTATTTTCCTTTTTCGGTAGACCTCTCTATAACCTGCTTCAAAGTGAAGATAGTCCCAACGTGCAACTTCAATAGCAATCTAAAATAAAGTGGTTTTCATTATTATAAACCTCGTTTACTTCCTCCAGACCTGCTTGCCAATTGCTTAGAATAAATCTTTCTTGCTGATGAAATGGCTTCACTATAATAAACCTGTTTAATATCATCCAAACTGAAAGCATTTTGACCCCCTTTTAGCAGCATATTGAAATATTCTGTTGATTTGTCTACTATATATTCGTTTAGCCATATAACGGATACTGATCCTTGTTTTCTTTTCCCCAAATTTTGGCACTTCCTTTGTCGTTCGCTTAATGTATTTTTTCCAATGTTTGGGTTCAATTTCGCGTTTTCTCTCATTTTGAGACCAAATACTAACAATCAGTTCCAGTTACCTAGAAGAACTTATAGCTTCGCCCTTTCCATCCTTATTTTGTGCAGAGGGAATAATGCATTTAATATTAAAAGTTCATATTTTTTATGATATGGTCCAACTTCCAAATAAAATTAAGGAAATAAAAATGTTTTTTTTTTATAGCGATATCTGAATTTTACTAAACAATCCATCACCTATTCATTAAAAGTAGTTCAGATTAGGTATATATTATTTTAGTTTATAAAACAGATATTAATATGACTCATTTCCGGGGAAGTATATACAATTTAAATTACCTTTAAGAATCAGGAAATATATAAAACAAAATGTTAAATTGCAAATATTAAATAAAAAATTCAAGATATTCTGCAAAGTATTTTTGAATTAAGTTGTATTATTATAATTATATAATTTTTATAATAGAGGCCTTCTTAAGCGACCTCCGTATAGAATAAAGGAAGTTAAATTTAAAAAAATAAATAATAATAAATTTTAAAAATAATAATAAATTTTAAAAATATTTTTTTTTGACAAATAAATTATTTTATTAATATTTGTTCGTTAATACAATCAATATAATATAACAAAAACGTTATTATAGCACTATAACTAAGTCATTTATGAGTACTGAGTGGTGTGGTAGAGGCCTGAGGCACCTACGCCAGTAGCGCTTTTCTGCCGCTTATGTACATTTTCTACGGAACTACTTCAAATATTTTAAAAAGTAATCAGTGTTTTAGAAAGAGAAATATATTCTCCAGATGTTTTATTTCAGCACGTTTTGCATTATTGTTGACCGTTTGATTACAAACGACGCTTGATTTTCAACTTGAAAATTTTTTTGTAAAAAAAATTGACTTTACCGATTTTTTTTAATGCCTAAGCCAATTAGTTTTTAATATTTTTTCATGGTTTATTATTCTATGACTATCCAGCTTTAATAAAAGACCAACTATAATGAAATTAAGCCAAATGCTGATTCTCAGTAACAAAAAAACTAAGTAAAGTCAAAGTCGTCAATCCGCCATGTTTGGACGCCATTTTGGGGCAGTTCGTTCACTTTTTTTTGTGGGAACATTGGCTTTTTTTTAATAAATTGTCACAAGGAACACAACGATATGCAATTTATAGGGATGTGGGGGGGGTGCACGGTAAGGGGGTCTGGCCCACCGTGTATATTGACGTTATGTTATAAACTGAGTTAAAACGTATCTTAAATTAGAAAAAATAAAAGACGCTGCTAGTAAAGTAGTATAAGTTTTTTTTGTTATAAAAAAGCAAGTTTTATAGGTTTTAGTGTACTTTAATGTGAATTTTTATAGAGACAAAAAAAATAAAAAAAATTAGCCATTAATTTTGTTAGAGGATTATTATTTCTCCATCTTCGACTAAAGCAATCGTACATAACTTCCCAGGATTTCCTACAAATTCAACGTTAATTGCAGCCATTGGAAAGCAGAATCACTGCTTTCAGGCTCCACGCTTTCAGCATTTTTTCACTTTTCATTTCTTCATATTGGTTTCAGTGATCTGAAATAAATGCTTTAATAAGCACAATATGCTCTTTAAAAAAAAAATTATAACGCCACATTTCACTTTCTAAATGTAACAAGAAAAATAAATTTTAAAAAATACCCCTAAACGTATTATTATTATTTTGTTTTCTTCTCTTCATACTTCTATCCATATATGTTATAATATTGACAACAAGCAGTTGTGATTTCATTTTAATGAAAATTGGCATTTAGGCATGAGGAAGAATAGTACCCAGCTGCACCTCATCCTGGTCTTCATTTACTTCCTTAATTCAGGAAAAGAAGATCTCTCATTTAGCTTCTCTTTAGTCGTCTCCTGATGGGCATGTCAGCTGTGGCCATGTCGTTGATAAGACCGTTGTGATATCGCGTAGCTTAAGACGAAATCGAGAGTAGAGAATACCTATGTGTTGATCGACAATTGGTTGTCGTAAGTCTGTATGTAAAGTTTTCTTGTTAACGTACCAGGGAGTTGTTATTAGTCTTAAAATTTTGGATTGATATAAATGAAGTTCTTGTGAGTGCGTCATTATTGCAGAACCGTAAATTCGTTAGGCCATTGTCCATATGAGTTTAACTAGATAAGTGTATTTATTTAGTTTTTGTCTGATTTTCAATTTTGATTTGGAAAAAGTGAGTATAGTAATTTCAGTCCCTTTTTTTATTTTGGCGATATCGTGATATGATATGATGATGATTGTTGCTGTTAACACAGGTTTTTTATTTGTTTTTTTACAGAACTTCAAGGACCACTTAAAATTTGTTTTATTTAGTTCTTTTTCTTCCGGACTAATTCATGTTTTTGAAAAAAAAAAAAAATAAGCCTCTCAAAAAATTAAATCCTGGATCTGTTAGTACCTAGAATGATTACTATTATGAAGGTACCAATAGAACACCAAAAAAAAATGTTTGAAATCTGTGACCCACTGACCACAACCTCCACTTGTCAGTATTTTTTTTATGTTGTTCCTTGAGTAATATTTGGACTTATCATCACATGATACCCCGCAGGTGATGCTAGGTCGGGGCTCGCCGGGGATGGCTTGCCCTCTAGCCAAGCTCGGCCGAAGCTCCCCCGACTACTATGGCTCCAGCCTGGACCAAGGATACCACACGCTCGTACCCTCCGGCTGGACAGCCCAGGAGAAGCCCAAGAGGCGCCCGCCATCGCTCACTGAACGGCTTCCAGATGACCTGCTCCTCCGAATATTCTCTTGTCTGGAATCTCCAGACTTGTGTGCATGCGCCAGGGTCTGCAGAAGATGGGAGACGTTGGCTTGGGACCCATCACTGTGGACGACGCTCACCCTCCTCGGTGAGAACCTTTCCGGAGATAAAGCTATAAGGTGAGTTTATTTTATTTATTACATTATATGCTATAAATTTAATTAGTTCTAATTAGTAAAAATATAACATTATAAAAACAATTAAATCATCTGTTATTTCAGGAAGTATGCATACCTCATAAGTACACCAATTAGCCGTACATTATATATTATCATTTGTCATGGTGTAACTAAAGTTTGTTTCTTACAGATTAATTGAATCGCTTATTTCAAAACTTAACACTAATCGATTTTTTTTTAAATATCGATTTCCATGTAAAAACCCCATGAAACCGATGGGTCAATATCTTTTCAAAACCAACCAGACCATTAAAAAAATTGTATGAAACTAACTTCTTTCCAAGCCGACCTTTTTCGTCCAAGAATGTAATGATACTTGCACTTGTTAAGTAGTCTTAAAAAAATAATTCATCAAAAGCTTTTAAGCTATAATCTAAAAAAAAAAATAATTTTGTTGTACCATTATTATGATTAAAAAGTTAATTTTTATCATTTTTCTCTGAAATCACATACCATTTTTTCTAAACAATCCGAAACCCAATTAATCTTTTCTTTTTTTTTTCCAAACCGTGACTTGAAGCTTAATTCTTTCCAAAACTGGCTCTGTCCAAGTTTCGATTTTTTTAAAAATTACTATTAAAGTAATTTTGAGAAATATGTAATGCAAATAAAGAATTTCTTGATTTATTTTTTTAAATACTTGGGGGTACCTCCTGTCAGCCGAACGGCGGACCTACCCTCGTTTTACAAGTTATACAAAGGAAAAAGGTGTTTGACAGAAATTGTTAAAGAAGAAAATAATTGAAAACTTACATCTTTAATAGTTGGAAAACATTTTATCTCAATAATGGAATTAGGGCGCAGTATCCGGAAAAACGCGCGGTGACGGTGTTCTGTGAACATTCCACCTTATATGTAAAATAAAATATTGGTCACTAAAATCTTTTTTATATCATAGAAAGTTTCGCGGTTCCTGGAAATTAGTCAATGAAGATCAGGTGTCACTTGGGAAATAAACGACTCAATTATAACTAACTGTTAAATATAAATACATTGCTTACATGGCTGAGACAGAAACATTAGAATCCCGAAGACGAATGCAATGAAACAATATATTGAACTAATCTGTGCTATCTCTAGCTTCTCGGACAGTCAAACAAGCATCAAAGCTGAGGAAATAAATAATGAGAAGACTATTTAGAGGTCTTAAGTTCTAACTATTTTCTATCGACCTTGGAATACAATTAGAATATTTACTAGCAATTTTTATATAATCATTTGATACTGAAACTACTACAATGTAACCTACCCTACTTTTAAACATTGATTGCTTGATGTAGCATCTATGAAACCTGCAATTTTGTTTCTTGGTGTTGCCGACGTCGGAACTCCAGAACTGACGTAGCAATAACAGATCACCTCCAGATTCCGTGGAGCGGAAGCGAGTTTTTTTACCTTGCCCGAAAGAGCGTCTCAGTTCTCCAACTGACAGCTACCAGGTGAGGAAACGCCAATCAAACAAGAAGCACATGTCATAATACCAAGCACACGCCCGTCTCTTAGATTACAGGGAAGTGACTCGAAGGATCAGCGATAAATTAAGACTATTCATTAGTCTTATATTGTATACATCGAATACTGAGTAATGTTCCGCCACGAGAATCGTCTACCGACATCTGCAGCTATGTTTAGTTTTGTACTAGTAATTTTTTTCCTGTACTATAAATACTTTTATAGTGCTTATGAGGAAATGCATAAATCGGTTTTGTAAATACGTGTAGTTATAATCTCCAATTTCGTCAAACAGCCTCCACTGGTCATTAATACCAGTAATATGGCTGAATGAGAGGGGCTGGGATCTCCTAGGATCGCGCCTTTCCTTCCACGAGTAAAGGGAAAGACTTGGCTCGGAGTTTCCCTGAATGAATGAATTTTATAAATATTGTGTAAAAGTGTATTTGTCTTTTAACTTGTTATTTTTATTAGCTTAGTTTTATATATATATATATATATATATATATATATATATATATATATATATATATAACCAATATATATATATATATATATATATATATATATATATATAAAATAATATAACCAAACTTAAATATATATATATATATATATATATATATATATCTATCTATCTATATATATATATTTAAGTTTGGTTATATTATTTTTCTGTATAATTTATTTTTATAATTTGTAAATTGAGTTTGAATGTGCTCACTGAACACTATTACAAATTTCCTTGATTGAGACAGATTGTAATATTTCTTAATAAACAAGTTCTGAAAAAATAAAATTCATTAAAAAAAAAAAAAAGAACACAGCCATCACATTTTTTCAATCTTGTTTTATCCTAACCCGCGATCACATCCTTAGATTTGGACTCCTGCCACATTTTTTATTTCAATTTTTTTAGTTAAATATTCTTGTGTTCAAGTTGTTGTTTTTATTAGTTTATTTTTTGTTTTAATTGTTAGTAGTATTATTATTCTGTTTAATTTATTTTAAATAGAGTGCGAATGTGCTCTCTGAACACAGGATAAATTTCCTTAATTGAACCAGATTGTAATATTTCCCAATAAATATTGAAGGAAGTCAGTCAACTGTTCTACATATCATAGGTGAAAAATAGTCAGGACCCAACCATTTTTAAGGTTTTTATTTGTGCTGACGTTTCAACCCAAGTATGAGGTCATCATTAGGTCATATTTCGAGCATTGAAAGTGTTCAAGTACTCATATACTATTGTAACAATAAATAAGTTAAATCCTAAAATAAAAAAAATTCGTTCCAGTACCTTTTTGTAACTTGTTGTTTATCAAATCCCTTTTTGCTGCAGATGCATTGTCCGAAGGCTGTGCAGCTCTGCAGGGCGGGCCAGCTTGCGGAAGGTGGTCATCGGGGAAGGGGCTTGGATCACCGACAAGGGTATCTTGATGATGGCTCGACGTTGCCCGGAACTAACCTGGCTCCAAGTCCACGGATGTTCCGCCATCACGGACTCGGCACTCTTCGAGCTCGTCACAAGGGCGGTCAACTTGCACCACCTCGACATCACTGGTAAGTAACAACACATTTTTTAAATCTGTTTATCACAAAACTTTTATTTATTTTTAATAAAGCACATTGTCTTACATCATTCTATGTAAAAGGAATGGCCATCCTTCCCAAGATTGGTTGCGTATTAACTCCCTCCCTTTACACAAGATTTTTATTGATCTCCTCTTTTTAATAACAGTGTAAGACGAAGTATAACTTTAGATATAATGGGTCATATAAAATTACACAGTGATTTGTTCTGTGCTTTCCTCTTGTCCTCTGGTTTGAAAATTTTCATTTCAAAAATTCATAATCCTCTCAAAATGTATCCCCTCAAAAATTCAAAACACTTTCTGAGCACCCCTAAAAGTAACAATGTTGTATAAGTGTTATATGAATGAACTCCACAACCACAAAAAAGTTTTTTTTTATTTGGGCTAAACTTCCTTGATTTATTAATCCAATGCAAATAATGTATGCATTAACATAAACATGGCGAATCGATCAGGCAGGAAAAGTAAATCTCCAACATAAAATAGATAAATAATATCATGATCATCGTGAATAAAATTTCTAAAAATAAGTGGTATGAGAAACTAAAAACTCTAATTGACCTTTAAACATTCTTCAGTAGGACTAGAAAATACCAAATAGCCTGGAAGATATATAAATAAAAAACTGTATAAGAAAAAAATAAAGAAATGGGGACAGAAAGAAGTACATTAATTAAAGAACGATTTTTTTTACAAAAAGTTTCTTTCAAAGAGCGCGCTAGGTAATCGATTCCCGGTAAGGTAGTAAGATTAAGTGTACTGCCCCGTCGGCTCTGTTAACGCCTTCGTCTTTTTATGGTACCTAATCCATTGGTATCCTACTAGCACAGTTGAAGTATCTCCTCTCACTCATCAATTGAGAAGTTGTTAAGATGAATCCTCTTCATCCAACCACAGTTGTGGTTCTGTTGGGTTATAATGGCGAAATTGTGTTCGTAATTGTATTATTATGTAATCTATTTATACATTGCATTATTTTTGTTAGAATGGCAAGAATGATTGAAGGAGGGCATGGTAGTAGTTTATAGTCGTGTTAGTTTAATTGAATAGTATTTAACTTTCATACAAAATTAAGATAAATATATTTCTCTCATTTTATATTTATTATTCAAAGTACATATAATGGATTAGAATAGTTTTGTTCTGAAAATAAGACTGAGAATGAATAATTTCAAGGAATTACAAATTCAAGTGTGTCGTGAAACAAGTGCTTTGTAGTTTTATGAAAGAAGAATTTTTCACACATGTTAAAAATTAAAGTTAAATTGGAAGTCATTAAAAAAAAAGTTCTCTGTTAAAAGAAGTAATATTTAAACTAAAGAACAAATTACAAAAGTGAATATTTAAAACAAATGTATATAATACAAAAAGCCAAACGAATTCCGCAATTAGCGACATCAACAGTTTTGAGGGCTACGTATTCACGAGCTTATGAATGCTAATTATATATAGTTATGAATTATAGTTTTGTAAGGAATTACAGGTTTCAATTAAAGAAACAAAAAAACTTTCGTGTTTTGACTGATCACTAAGAAAATATCCTAGAAAAATGTGAGCTGGAGGTGGAGTGCCCGAGCTGGGCTAACGCGTGTAATAATAATAATAATAAGGCTTAGCGAACCCGAAGGTTCGATGCCGACACCAGCAATCGCTTGTTACACACCTCCCTCCACCGTTCGCCGTCCAAACCCAGTCCCTTCAGATCGGCTTTAATGCAATCCTCCCATCTTCGCTTCGGTCTACCCCTCGGACGCTTACCATTCGGCACAGCAAATATTAACCTTTTAGGAATTCTCTCGTTACTAAGCCCAACAACTTTACAAGCCCATTTGATTCGCCGCGATGAAATTACCTCAATTATATTACCCGGATACATCTCACGCAATTCGGCGTTGTGTAACCGTCTGAACTCTCCGGTTAACTCATCCTTTTTCGGTCCGAATATTCTACGCAATACTTTATTTTCAAAAACCTTAAGACGCTGCTCATCCCTTAATGTAAGCGGCCAAGTTTCGCATCCATAAAGAACTGTAGGTAAGATAATTGTTTTATAGATTCTAATTTTTAAGTTTCGGGACAAGAGGCGCGAACTAAGTAGTTTTGTCACAGAAAAATAACAAGCGTTCCCCGCCTTCAGTCTAACCTTAATCTCTTCTTCAATTTCGTTTTTTCTAGTTATCGTAGAACCTAGATATCTAAATTTATCTACCTGTTCAAACATATTACCAACTATATCGATATCACCAGTAGTATCGCCATTTTTGCAGCTAACCATATATTTTGTTTTATCCACGTTTATTTCAAGTCCTAGTTCTTTCCCTAACGCGTGTATGATAAAATAACCCCGAGTTCGTATTCTGGTGCCAACGGAGGCTATTAACTCTGGCATTGATACCCCGCCCTCACCTTCTGACCCGAGAAACCTCTGTATAGCCTAAAAGGCGAAGAGGAGGACAAAGAAAAAGATAGATGTGTTTTTTTTTTTAATTTATGAATCTCTTGTCAAGAATATTCAGCTGTTAAACAATATGAGGAAAACTAATCCCAGAATTCTCCTCCTCCCTTCGGCCTATTCTTTTTTGCAATGGATATTCTTACAGTTGGCGACCTAGTAGCATTGTAGGCCTCTTCCAGCAGCTGTGGTTGTACACTGAGACTTGCATTTGTTATCAATTAAACTACTTTTTAACATGCGTGTACTAAACTCTTTTATTTATTTGTACATGAGTCTTATAGAAACCCCATTTAAAGGAATGTTCTTATCTGATATATTTTTGGACATTAATAATCCTTCTTTTTTAAGCAAAATGTCTTTTTCAGCGTTGAATAAACTTTTTCAAGATTAAATATGTTTCACAAATTATATTTAGAAAGAACACATATCAACGAAATTACGAATTGCCAGCCTATATTCATGATAGCTCTTATCTGAATTTCAAGAACAAATAAGCTGAATAAAAAGTAAATAAAAATAAATAAACATCAAATATTTTTGGTTTTAATGGAGGCCCTGCAGGCTTGAATGAATTAAAGCTAAATTCATTCATTAGATTGTCTAACTCATAAATAAACCATAAAACTGCCTTGATCATGGATCACCCATTAGCTATGTAGCAAATGTTCGTATGTTAAAAGACTTTACCGACGACCAATATGTCAAAAGATATGAATTGAGGAAACACGAAACAGCCGAGACCGCAGAGCAAAGTAAGCGGGTATAACCAAAGAGGTTATTTTTCATAGCTAACAAGAGAAAGAGGATGAAAAATGAGCACCGAGGCGGGAAAACGTGCTTCAAAGACAGTCTCTGACCTCATTGTAACTCAAAGCATTGATTTATCTTTCCGCGTTTAATGAGCACTAAATTAATCAAATGTCTGCCGTTTAGTCATTCCCAGCGATCATCGGCCACAGACGCCTTACTTTATCCTAAGATTCCTTGGAAGATATTTCTTAGTTATCAACAGTTACCGTATTATACCGATTACGATAGCTCAGAATTTATTAAGATACATTTCAAACAATCTTGATATTGCCATCTGTTATTGTAACATTCCGTAAAATATTCTTTAAGAAATCAAATATCCACTTAAACTTTTCTTCCTTGTGGCTGTAAGATATACAAGAGGTTTTACATTAAAAAAAAAAATATATATATATATTTTAATAAAGTGATAAGATAGTTTCCTATTAATAAAATGACGAAGATTTCATGCTCTAAATGATGACGATTGTTAAACATGAAAAATAATTAAAATATGTCCACTTTGACGTACATATCCGTTTCAAAATCATTGGAAAGCAATTTATAAAAGTTGTAAACAAATACAAAAATACAATCTGGTAAACAAAGAATTTTACCATGAACGAAAATAAAATTTAATGAAATAAAATCTCCTGTTTTTAAGATGGAGGATGTGAAATATAAATCTCCTACTTCATAAGAGATATAGTTTTTATAAGTTATTCTCTATAGATATTAGACCAACCATCTTGTGACTTTTTTTTCCTCATTAAATAGGTATATAATAAAGTAATTTATAGCTAACTATTCCATTTACGAGAATAGTCAGTTCTTACATTATCTGTTTCAATTGTAATCTAATAGTGTAAAGTCAGTTCTGCGCATGCGTTAGCCCTAGTTAAACATACGTCAGGTCGTCTCTTATAAAAATCTCATTTATCAGTGGCAGTATACAAGTTTAATGTGAACAATTAGTGCTATCAGTTACATTAACAATTACGTTTATACTGGACAAAAAAAATAAGGTGAGTAATCACTTATTTACAACACAAGAGTGAACAATGTAAATAGACCTTAGGTTAGTTAGATAACGGCCAGCCATAAGCTGCAACAGTCGTTAATACCAGTGGGCTAGATCCCTCCGTCGGAGGCAGATCTGTGCTCTCCAAGAGCGCGTCTATATTTTCGTGTTCAATAAAATTTTTTTCTTTTTCCTCTCTTCACTTTTATCAATTTTTCTTTTAAAAATAAATATGAAATGCGATATTATCACATGCTAATGTCGAGTAAGGGCAAAAACACTAGGTCCAGGAGCCTGGATACTACAATTAGTTCTCCCATTAAAAAAAAGACGAGGCATTCGAAAAGAAACACTCCACCAGCCACACCAGGGAGCTCCATAGAAGAAGTGGAACCCCAACCTGGCTCCTCACAACAACCCAACAATTATGAGACAACTCAAGCTATGGGTGAAGAATCGCCGTTTTTCACTTCGAATCCATTTGAAGTGCTTTCAAATATAAACAACGAACAAATGGAAGCAGCATCCATCCCCAGAGAACCCAAACCCCCACCAATATTTGTTAGAAATATTAAAAATTTTCAATTGATGTGTAATCAATTGAATAATCTGGTAGGTTCAGGAAAATATTTATGCCAAAGCCGCACCAATGACACTAAGTTAATGCCCGACACTCCAGAAACCTATAGAAAAATCATAAAATATTTATCTGACACCAAGGCTGATTACCACACGTATCAACTGCGTCAAGAGAGGGCGCTCAGGGTCGTTATCAGAAGACTGCACCCATCTACGCCAACAGATGCTATAAAAGAAGAGCTCACGGGTATGGGATTCCATGTTCGCCAGATAGTGAACATATTTAAGGAGGATAGAGAACAGCCTGGAATAAAAAATAAAATACCTCTTCCACTATTCTTCGTTGACCTTGACCGAACACCTGATGTCGAAAACATCTACAAGGTCACACGCCTTTATTATACAAGCGTTGTTGTAGAAAAGCCCTACAGCAAGCGCGACATCGTTCAATGCCATAACTGCCAGGCTTATGGCCATACGAAACGGTATTGTCATCACATTCCTAGATGTGTGAGGTGTGGTGAGCAACACAAAACAGAGGACTGTAGGAAGTCTAGAACTTCACCTGCAGTATGCGCTTTATGCCACCAAGGACACCCAGCCAACTACAAGGGTTGTCAAACTTACAAAGATTTGAAAACACGAATGTACGCAACGCCTAGAGAAGAAGGGACATCCAGGCCACCAAGACAACCCTATAGAACAGTGAACGGAAGAGTGTCCTATGCTCAGATGTTCAAAGGAGACACTGTAAACACTCAATCTCAGGCCCTGCCACAAGAATCTAAACCTCAAGAATTCACACATCAACCTCAAGACCCATATCCCTCCATCCCTGAACGTAGATTAAATACTCACACATTCATTCCTCCTCCTTCCAATTCCACTGACCTCACAAGCCTATTGACATCTTTCCTTTCCGAATTTAGATCTCTCATTACCCCCCTTATTTCGCTACTTACCAATGTTATATCCAACCTCATTCCACTGCCAAGAAATCCATAAATGTCCTCAACCAAATTCCTCTCCATTCTCCTCTGGAATGCGAATGGTATTCGGAACCACATCAACGAACTGACAATCTTATTACATGACAAAAACATCGACATAGCACTAATAACTGAAACTCGACTAACCAACAAACGACAAATCAACGTGCCCGGCTACAATATTTATCGAACCGACCATCCTGATGGAACAGCACATGGTGGCACTGCCATAATTATCCATCGATCCGTTTCCCATCATTTGTTTCCCTTACCAAGCCATAATTTCCTACAATCCACAGCCGTAATAATCCAAACACCCCTTTACCCAATAACACTAGTTGCGGCATATTCCCCACCTAAAACACCCATTTCCGAATCCCAAATAATTTCCTTCCTGAATTCCTTAGGACACCACTTCCTCCTAGGTGCAGATCTAAATGCAAAACACCAGCAATGGGGAGCCAGATCCACAAATTCCCGAGGCCGAACATTGCTATCTGCACTTAATTCCCATCGCAGCAACATCCTTTCACCTAATACACCCACATACTGGCCAACAGATCCCAACCGCAATCCCGACCTTCTAGACTTTTTCCTCCACAAAGGTCTAGGATCACTACACTGTTCTATTTCAAGGTTTGATGATCTTTCCTCAGACCATAGTCCTCTAGTCCTAACCGTTTCCACATCTCCCATTCCCAAATCATCCCCACCTTCATTTATCAGGGGGCCAGTTAACTGGAACCTTTTCCGTCAAATACTGGAAGATAATATTGACCTCAGAGTTTCCTTAAAAACACCTGAAGACCTCGACGATGCAGTGCATTCCTTCACTACCCTGATCCAGCAAGCAGCTTGGACTGCATCCTCACCTGATCGTCCCAAAAAATACCATAACATAAATCCTTTACCTCAAGATCTATTGGACCTAATCCATAGCAAACGTTGCTCTAGGACCCTTTGGCAAAGAACTAGGCATCCTGATGACCGGAAATTGTATAATTATTATTCCAAACAGGTAAAAAAGAAACTGGAAACTTTTAAAACCCAATCCTACAATTCCTACCTCTCCTCATTATCCGCTAGTGATAACTCCCTCTGGAACGTAACCAAAAAAATCCTTAAATTCCAGTCCATTTCCCATCCACTTCGCCGTGATGATGGTTCCTGGGCTTCGTCAGATGCGAATAGAGCAGAGGAGTTTGCTAAACATTTATCCTACACATTCACCCCTCACCCCGAACTCCATCCCAGCCACACTGCTGAAGTTGAAGAATTCATCTCTTCACCAATTCCTCTCTCTCTACCTCCAAAACCTGTAAACCCCTCTGAGGTCAAATTCCTTATAAACAAATTAAAACCCCGAAAATCCCCTGGATATGATCTCCTCACTTCACAAATCCTCAGACAACTTCCCAAAAAAGCAATCATATTCCTTACCTATCTATACAACTGCATCCTTCGCACAAGCAACTTTCCTTTGGTGTGGAAACATTCCATAATCATCCTGTTTCCAAAACCAGGTAAACCTGTTAATAACACATCATCCTATAGACCGATAAGCTTACTCCCGATCCTCTCAAAAATCTTTGAGAAAATCCTTCTCAAACGCATCCTACCCATAATCGAATCCCACAACATCCCTTCTCATCAGTTTGGATTCCGCTCAAGACATTCCACTGTCCAACAAGGCCTTCGTGTTGTGGACCATATATCCTCTGCACTTGAAAACAAGCATTATTGCACTGGTGCCTTTCTGGACGTAGCACAAGCTTTCGACCGGGTGTGGCACGATGGCTTGCTTTTCAAGCTCAAAACCCATTTACCCCAATCCTTATACCTAGTCCTCAAATCCTACCTCTCAAATCGTTCCTTTCAAGTCCGTTGTGACACCGCATTCTCCACTTACTATCCAGTTGAGGCTGGTGTTCCACAAGGCAGTGTCTTGGGCCCAGTTCTCTATATCCTCTTCACTTCCGATATCCCTTCCAATCCCGATACATTTCTAGCTACATTTGCTGATGATACTGCCATTCTATCTTCCCACTCAGATCCTCAAATAGCATCTCTAAACCTACAATCTCACCTCTCTTTGATTGAGCAGTGGTGCAACAACTGGCGCATCAAAATCAATGAATCAAAATGCAAACATATCACTTTTACCCTGCGACGCAGATCCTGTCCGTCAATCCTTTTTAATTCAATTCCACTTCCCTACTCAGACACAGTCCGTTACCTTGGCTTCCTTCTTGACAAAAGACTAACTTGGAACCCACATACCAGACTTAAAAGACAAGAACTTAACCGACGATATGGCCAGCTGTATAGATTACTAAGTAGGACATCCCATCTTTCGATTGAAAATAAACTTTTAATCTACAAGACCATACTGAAACCTATCTGGACCTACGGACTTGAACTGTGGGGAACTGCTAAACATTCGAATATCAAACGCATCCAATCCTTCCAGTCCAAAGTACTTAGAACAATAGTCAATGCCCCATATTATGTCACAAACAAGACCCTACACCATGACCTTAACATCCCATTTGTCCTCGACATCATCCCAACCAGATTCTCAAACTTTCACCAAAACCTTATCCATCATCCAAATCCTCTAGCTCAATCCCTATCCAGCTCCCTTCATCCCTACAATCCTCCACGAAGGTTAAAACGGCAGTGGCCCAGAGATCTCTTGTAAATATGCTTCTGGAGTCCTGGCAATGGCCAGCTTCTCCACTCATGTCCCGAGCGTCTGTGGCTCTAGTGCCCTCTTTCAGTCTCCATTGGCTTCTAATACCAGTGATGCGGCTGGAAAAGTGGCACTGGAATCTCCTGGAGTCTTGCTTTGCCTTCCACATGTGGGGGAAAAAGCCTGGCTCGGAGATTCTTGGGCGAATGTATATATTGTATATAGGTATGATTGTGTTTATAAGTTTCTTTTTATGTTATTGTTTATTTTTTTTTCTTTTATTTTCTTTCTTCATCAGTATTATTTATTTACTTTTTATATTTATATTTATTTCTCTATTATTTGTATATATTGTTTGAATGAGAACTCTTAGCCCTAATACTTATAGCCCTCCAGTGGCTGATTGTATTATTATTCAATAAATAGATAAAAAAAAAAAAAAAAAAAAAAAAAATAGTGTAAAGTGATTACAATGGGCCACAGTGGGGTTGAAATGGCATTTTGGATAAACAGTTACTGATAAATGGAAGCTTATCGAAATTTTTATGTTGAATAGAAATATTTATCCTAATAAAAAAAGCCTTCTCTGTGTTAAAAATATGGAATTGAAATTTCTAGCGAAAGGTGATCATTGAGGATGTGATCAATAAGGACCCATAGTACTGTAGGTATTTTTTAGTTAAAAAAGTTATCATTTCCTTATCAATTCTAAAGGGATGTGTAAAAATTTTGCTTTGATTAATCAGTTAAGGAAAAAAGTTTCTACATGCCCTTTTTACAATTATTACAAAAATATGTATATCAGTCTCAGTTTTATTAGGTATACAAATTGTCTCATAAATATGAAAAATGAATATGCATCCCCGTCCAAACATTCACTGAATAATCAGGAATTTCGTTACGGTAGTAATTCTATTTAAGTAAAGAATTCATAGATGAAATAAACAAATTTAACCAATAATTTTATATTCTTATCATTCATCCTTAATGCACTTATCAATTTCCATAAGGCACAGAATGCAACATCATAAGAATTAAACATCAGAAAATAACAATTATATAAAAACCAAAGGAACCTATCTTTTTTTTACTGCCGTAGTTTATCTGAAAAATTAATGCATTGAAACCCTTAATGTTATTAAATCTATATACATTAAATTTTAGTTGGCTAATCTCATATATTGATTAAATGGTCTGAAGTTGTTGTTGTTGACATTAAAAATTAAAATAATCAAAAAGGCAAATCTTGTTACACAACTAAGTGTCATAATTTAATGTACCAAAAATAGTTATAGTAATGAAAATATATGTTATTATCCTGTACCACTACAACCCATGGAGGGTCTGGGGTTCAGTACTATTTAGGGAAAGCACTGTTTCTAAGTCAACGGTAGTGCAAGGAGGTGATTTGATATGTTATTATATGATGATAAAACTCAAAGAGTTTTGAGTTAAATTAAATTACACTTTTAATAAATGATAGTATTTATTAAAGACTCTCTGATTATAAACAAAAAAAAAGGATTTGCTTAATATTTAACCAAAATTACACTATGACCAAAAATATTCTTGTTCACAGGCTGTATCCAGATCTCATGTGTGAGTGTAACTCCTGGACCAGAACCTCCTAGGAGACTGCTCCTTCAATATTTAGACTTAACTGGTAATTAAACATTATTATTTTTTCTTATTAAACAATTTTATATTTAAGAAATTACTGTTTACATTCCATTTAATAATTATTATTTATTTAAGCTAAACTAATAATTCTAGCTCCCGTGATTTATCTGTTTCCTTTACAAAATTCTAACCTATAGTGTACTCTTTTTTTATTAAATTGTGAATATATTTTTTTATTTTCCAGACTGTAATGCAGTGGATGATGGAGGCCTTAGAGTAATTGTCCGAAACTGCCCACAGCTTGTTTACCTTTATCTTCGTAGATGTACAAAAATAACTGGTAAATGGCAATTTTTTTTAATTATTTGTATATAATAGCACACAATATTTTGTTATATTTTATAGTTCATATTCATCCTATTGGCATCATTTAAGTGCTGGTTTATAGATTTCACATTTGATAATCATCCTGAGTTGAGTACATGGTGTGAACATCTTCAGATTAAATAAAAAGTGAGACACATGTCATAAAATTGACTGAAAAACTTTAATACAAATTAAATATTAATTATTATTAGATTTAAATTGTCCACAACAGATAACAAAAGTTTATTTTTTAATTGTTTGAACTAATTGACAGAGATGTAACCATCAGTGAGTATAGCGCGCCCGGGCCAAGATTTTCCCATGCGTCTCCTCCTCCTCTTTTTCCTACTATCTTCTTTCTCAACTCCCTCTCTGACCTCTTTCCTTCTTCTCCCATTTCTATATCGGCCAAAAATGTATTGAGAGTTACTGAGTGTATTTTGATCAATAAAAATAGTTTCATTTATATTAATTGATTTATCATACTATCACAAACCCGTATTAACTTCTGGACAACACAATGTTTGTAAACAAACATCTAAGAGCATCTCATGTATCTAAGACTTGGAGACAGAACTTTGTTATAGGTACTAATCACTACTAGTGCCATTGTCCTCTATTTCTGAATTACCTTTAATACTGAGACATTGATAGGGCCACATGGCTGCATGAGTGAGAGATAATGCTATATTGAATTTACAGATGTACAGGAACATCAAATCATGTCACCGAACGGCCGCGCCCCCTAAATCATGGTGCCATGATCGCCCCACGTACACCACTGTCCTTCTAATTGACGCATATTATTAGTTTGTAAGGTATCAACCTACATTTATATTTTCATTGATATAATATTCTTCTTTTTTATTTTAGATGCTGGTATTAAATTTGTTCCTAGTTTCTGCTCTGGGCTTAGGGAACTGAGTGTTTCTGACTGCACTCAAGTAACAGATTTTGGTTTATATGAATTGGCCAAGTTAGGGGCGACTCTGCGGTACCTATCAGTGGCTAAATGTGTCAGGGTAATATATTTTTCTTTTTCTATAATAAGAAACCAGTGTGGTGAAGATTCTAAATCACTTTGTAAGTGATTTATAATCTTCAACATAATAGTTAGCTTTTAGCTTAGAAATAAGATAAATAAATTTATTTTTTCATAAAACAATGTAACTAAAACATTTATGTGGCAAACAAAAACAGGAAATAAAAATATATTTGTGTTAATGTTTCCAACAAAACACTTAAATAATAATAAAATTATTAATCAATGAAAATAATTAACTATTGTATTTAAAAAGTAATTGACAAAATGAACAAAATAAATAAAATGCAAGTAGATTTTAAAGTGAAATGTTCTGCATTAAAATGATTTATGAATTTCTAAATTTGTTTTTGGAAAACCTAACATCCTATGTTTGAAATAGTTTTATTTAAAAAATATATTTTTTCATCAACAGACGTAATAGGAGCTAAATTTTTTTATTTGATTGAAAAAAAAAAGAGAACACTTTTCCATGAATTTTAAAAATTGCTTCCTCTTTGGTACTGCAAGCACAGATTCAAATTAAAACTTCAACACTTGCCGTTAATTTTTGCATTATAAATAGTAATATTCATCAGCATTTGTAATGAAAGTAAGAAACAAACTGAAATCAAAACTGGGTATGGTATTTAAAAATAATAAGAAGGGAAGATGAAAAGCCAGGAAATGAAAAAATAATTTTTTTTTTTATTTTATAATACTGAAAGTAACATTATTTTGTTAATTGAAATTTAATCTACAAGTGTAATTGGAATTTTGCCTTCAATTTTGTATTTTATTTTTCACTTCATTAAAAATCAAAATTTGCAATTTTCCCATTTGTCATAACAAATTTAGAAGTATACAAAATAAAATTTTACTAGTTCCTTTGATTCCGAAAGCTATTTGATCAGCAGTTTCAAACTTGCTCGCAAACAAAATATGCAATTGCATAAAAATCCGTGCTCTGGTCTCAACTCAAATAATATCATGGAATCGAAACGTCAATAAACTCAGGGGAAATGAACATTTAGTAGTTTATTAAATAATTAATAAGTGACTTTATTCCCAATTAAATTGTTATGTTTAAATATATATATAATGTTATATAATGATTGAATATTGTATTAAAATTACAGGTTAGTGACGCAGGACTTAAGGTGATTGCTCGTCGGTGCTATAAACTTAGGTACTTGAATGCAAGAGGTTGTGAGGCAGTTTCAGATGATGCTCTGACAGTGATTGCTCGGAGCTGCCCCCGACTGAGGGCATTGGATGTAGGAAAGTGTGATGTTAGTGATGCAGGGCTTCGGGCACTAGCTGAATCTTGCCCAAATCTGAAAAAACTCAGTTTACGAATGTGTGATTTAGTCACTGACAGGGGTGTCCAATGCATTGCATATTACTGTCGGGGACTCCAACAGCTCAATATACAGGACTGTCAGATATCCATCGAAGGATACAGAGCTGTTAAAAAATATTGTAAACGATGTGTAATAGAGCATACCAATCCAGGGTTCTTTTAGCCTTTACTATGCCAGTGTGATTCCATGTAAATTGTATACCATTAACTATTAGAAGATTTTAGGCAATTAATTAATACCATTTTTTTCTCGAGTAGCAATAAAGTGCCATTATTAAAAAAATATATATATCCCAAAACGTGAAAGAATTTGAAATTTATGAAACATTAAACTAGTAATAGTATGTTAAATAAAAATTGTGTATTAAATGTACAGGATCTAGAAAAATATTATTATATGTACCTATAAGGTGAATAAAATAAACATAGTGTTGTTAACTTATCACACGTTGACTTGCCGAATACTTTTCAGGATTCAGGTCTAAAAATACCTATTTATTTTTATTTTATTTTATAATTAAAATTTCTAGTTTTTAATACATAGCAAACATCAAAAAGCACTAAATATTATTGTAGCTGCAAAAATATGCCATTTAATCAACCTAAAAGGTACTAATTAGGGGTCATCTATTAGGTCAGCAGTCAACGTGTTAATGTTATTTGACCATTGATATTAACTGTGACAATAATGAAAGAAGTAGCATTCATCCGCTCAAGCACCTACCATTCCTCTTTATTATAAGCAATTTTACAGATGACATTAAGTTATACTTTCTGTTTAGATTTGAATTGACCAAAAATTTCAAAGATGTAAACATTCATTTATAAATTAATTTAATATTTATTTATTTAGGAAAAAATATGTAGTTAGGAGTTTGAAATTTGTTCTTTCCCTATTTTATCAATATGCTGACTTGAAATCAATAAAGATAGATCTCTAAATTCCTCTTAGTAATAATAAAAAACTATAAAACCATAGAAATTTTTATGTCAATTGAAGATAATTTTTTTTTAAATAGTATACAAAAAATGATGTTGATATTTTTATCATTTTCCCTTATTTTCAATATCTTTAAAGAAAATCTTGTAAAATATAATTAACAATGTATATACCTTAATACCAATATGTATATTAACAGTAATTTAAGGAAATAGTTTAATGAGAATTAGTTTGTGCAAATATAATGTATTTTAAATGTAAATGATTTATCATGTAAATATTTATACATATATGCATATAAAATTTATAAATAAAAACATTATATGTTGTTATATAATAGTTATTAATGTGAATAAATAATATATATTATTGATTGTTCATATTTATTCTAAAATATATTCCAATAAAAATAATGTTTGTGTAAAATTTCTTATAATCCAAATTTGAGCCATGATATTTGTTCCTATTTACATGAAAGGATAAAACCATATCATGGTTTCATACTAGCTTATTATTCACTTTATTATGAAAAAGTACACAATTCGGTGTATGGTTTATATAATTTTGTCTGAGTAAGATGGTTTGCTAATTAGGAAGGAGGTCTTCATTGATTATTAATTCCCTTGTTAAGCTTTGTTCCAACCTAAGGTAGATGCATGTAAAGATAAAAATGGAAAAATATTAGAAAAAAACATGATAATTAACGGATGGGAGGAACATTTCAATGATTGTTGAATGTAAGAAGCATGGATTCTAACGTGACACCATAGCTAGAAAACTTGTCTAATTTAGAACCACTCTCAATCGAGGAAATTGTGGAATCAATTGAAAAATTAAAAGATAACAAATCTCCTAGATAAGACCTTCTGATAGCTGGTGAGGAGCTGAATAATCAATTATACTTACTAATTGAGGATACATGGGACAAAGAATGCATGTCAGCAGAGTGGAAAACAAGCTTAATCTACCTTATACATAAAAAGGGAGACAAGGCTGCTCTGCAAAAACTACAAAGGAAATCTCTCTTAGGAGTAGCCTATCCAACATATTGGTTCAGAGATTAAATGAGTTTGCCAAGAATGTTCTACAGGAATACCAATGTGGGTTCCGCAGGGGCAGGGGAATGAGGAATCAGATCTTTGTAATGGGACAGTTAATGAAAAAATGCTGGGGGTATAAAACTGACCTTCATATGCTGTTTATAGAATACCGCTGTGCTTTTAATAGTGTGAATAGAAATAACATGAAACATGCTCTAGAAGATTTCAACATTTCAAGTAATCTAATTCGCTTGATACAAATATCCATGGATGGCAGTAACACTAAAGCGTATATTAATGGTATCCTTAGTCACGGTTTTCCAGTCACTGCTGGAATTAGGCACAATACAAGGAGATTTGTATCTGCTACACTATTTAACCTTGCATTATATAGTCTGATTGGGAAGCTAAACTCCAATGTGGATACACTGCGTTCATCCACTCAAATATGTGCATACACTAATGATATTTGCTTAGTGGCAAGGAATCAGCAATCTCTTATCGATTTATTCAAGCTGTTGAAGGTGAAGTACTTGGTTTAGAATTAAATGAAAGCAAAACCAAGTACATGTTTGTAAGTTCAGGCAGTGATTCAAGAGCTATAGAAGATCGTTGCATTGAAGGTTATTCTTTCTAAAACGTTAAATCCTTCTCTTATCTTGGTGTTGAGCTTAATTGCAAAAATGAAATTATGGCAGGTAACCAGGCTTACTATGGAAACATAAAACATTTCCAGCCATCGCTGTTGTCACGAACCAAAAAAATAAGGTTGTATAAAACATTAGTAAGACCAGTAGTGAGATATTCTGCGAAAACTTGGGCCCTTTGCACTCCAACAATAAATACTTGCAAAATTTTCCATCAAATTTATGAACCAGTGTTGAAAGGGGGTGAATGAAGAATCCAGAAGAACAGCATACTATATGAACTGTATGGAGCTTGTGACATTGTCCGCTTTATACGAGCAAGGAGAATTGAATAGTTGGGTCATATAGCATGGATGAATGAATCAAGAATGCATAAAAAGAATTGTGCTTGGGAAGATGTATGGTACTAAAAGGAGAGGATTACCTCAGAGACGTTGGATTCAAGACGTAGGAAAAGACTTAGAAAGTCTCGGTAGAAGGAACTTGAGGAGAAGAGTTTTGTGCAGAGAGAACAAGTGCAATGTTGTCAGGGAAGCCAAGCCCCACATCGGGCTGTAAAGCTACGTAATAAGTAAATATGTTAAGCTTTGTTATTATTTGTTTTGCATTTACATCTGCCTTATATGTGATGTCTCTGACAGGTCTGTGGTAATTCTGGATCTGAAACGAAAGCACTAACTCAAGTTGATGGAAGTAGAAATATTAACATTTTTTATGAGTAGCTTGTGCACAATTATGTGTTTCAATGAATTTTAATATATATCTATAATGTTTGAAATTAATTTATTGTAAAAATTCAACCAGAAGAGTAAATTCTTTTCAGTTTTTATTAGACATTTTCCCATTTTGATGCCATATATAAAAACATTTGAAATGTGCAACAAAAACCTCTTGTGCAAAATGCAGTAACTAAGGACAAAACTTGATACAAAAAAAAAAAAAAACTAATTATTTTTACCTTATATAAACTATAAAGGGTGTCTCAATTCTTAATAGCTGAACTTTGTAGGTTGATTCTAGACAAAATTTCCAACAAAAAAGTTCATTTGATGCATGGGCTGATTCCGAAAGGAGGAGAAGTAAAGACCAACATTGTGTTTTTCTTAAGAGGGTCTCGTTTTTTTTTTTTTTTTTTAATAAGAAAGAATTGCTCAAAAACTGTTGAAGATAATTAAATTCTAAGTTCACCATCATAAAGTAGACAAAATTGTCTGAGAAAACAGTGATGCAATTTAGTAAGATCAATGGTAAAAGGGACTTTAAAATTTACTGAGATCAATGGTAAAAGAGACTTTTATGAGTTCTAAATTTTAAATTCAGAACTTTTAATATGGCCCCTGTACTGCTGCAGTTACAGTACTCATTCACGAGCTGCCTATCTGTGTAATCTTAATTAGTGAAAAATTCAGCACAATGATAGGCTTTGCATTAGACCTCCTGAAAGTCTTTTTATCTATAAAAAAAAAAAAAAAAAACCGTACCACTACAACCCATGAAGGGTTGTACTATGTCTTGGGTGCAGTACTATGTGAGGAAGTATTGTTTCAAGGCCAATAGTTATGCAGGGGGGTGATGGGGTCGGCTCCACGCTCAACTGCTAGCTTTTTCCCCTTAATTATTTTTTTAATTAAGGGTAACCACTTTATAGAGGCTAGGTGTGCCACAGGAGGGTCTCCCAACCCCAGGGTCGATCCATGGCTAATGCAAAATAACTAGTCATTAGCCGGATTCGGACCCAGGACCTTGACTCAGGAAGTCAGTGCTCACCCACTGAGCTACCCAGCAACCTACCTTTTATCTATACCTTTGTAAATTTAATCACTGTTTTTTTCGAAGAAAATTTCACCATTTTGTATAGGTAGTTCATTGCTTTCAAATGTCCATACCAGTTCAGGTGTTTTGTCTCAATCTCTTTCAGAATGGTTCTTATAGCCTCCAACTTTTCAATGATGGTAGTATTTCTAACTTTATCCATTCTGGATGTTCCCGCCGCTCGTCTCCAGTAGTTCATTTCGGTGGCTAGAAGTTTCTTCCTGAGGTTGCTTTTTATGGTCCAAGTTTCTGACTCATATGTCGTAATGCTCAGTACTATACTGTTGTAGATGTTTTTTTTTGTTTTGGAGATAATTTTCCTGGTCCATAATACCGAGTTGAGCATTGATATGGTCTCTTTGGTCTCTTTTCTTAAGATATATCCAGCATCTTCTGCGTCCTGTCCAATGATGACCTGGTCATCTGCGAAGGATAGGTTATAAAGAAACACCTTTTCTTTCAACTAAATCCCCATGGGTTCGCATTTTATTCTCCAAGCTTTCAAACAGATGTCAAGATAAATTTTGAACAGAGGAGGAGAAGCACAACATCCCTGGAGCAATCCTTTGATTGTTGGGAAGGGCTCAGAAAGGTATGGTCCAATTTTGGCCTGGCAGGTGTTTCCTTTATACATTTCCTTTATTATATCTATCAGACCTATATTAATGTTTGCATTTTGGAGGGCTTGCCATAATAGTCTTCGAGTGACACTGTCATACGGCTT